CCTTAGATGGGCATTATCATCGTTTTAATTTTCCATCCAGTTTGGCAACAAACCCAAAAGTTTATATTTGCCCCCAAAGCAAACTTTTGCATTTTGCTGCCACACATGGCGTATACTTTGCTTAGTGATAGACCCAATCCAAGGAGTAGGTACCTAGAATATGGCGCATTTATTTGCAGTGAGTTCCGACCGACTGATAACATCCCAGCTAACAGGAAACGTTACTTCAACGTTGTCACAACGTCGTGTTTCGGTAAGTTGCGAAATTACGTTTTAATTACGTTGTAGCAACGTTCTGAACGTTGTGAAGCCATGGTTTGGTCCGAAGGTCGTGGTAAAACGTCGTGACAACGTTTTATTGGTACGTTGCAGCAACCGCGCACTTGCAGCATTATATTTTGATAATGCATGGTGACATATATGGCCATATAATGCATTTCCTTTGACTTTCAATGCGCATATTCAGTTTTCATCGTTAAATTTGACATATTTTAACACTTGGACTGTTCACGTTGTCAGCTGGTGGTCGCCAACACGTTGTTAAAACGGTTTTTCACAACCTTGACATTATAGGTACTGAATAATTAGCGGTGTTTTTACAAGTAAATTCTGATAGGTACCTTTCTCTCTCTATCTCTCTCTAATATATATATATATATATATATATATATATATATATATATATATAACATGTGTAAATTGCAAAGCGTCATTGGCATGTTTTGCAACATCACAGGCGGAGCTAGAGGCTTGCAACTATCCCTATGTAAACGCGGCTGTTAGGTATCCGCGGCTGCCAGCAAGCCACGCGGGCCGCCACTCAGGCGAACGGTGGCTCGCGCCCTGACCTCGCCTGAGGGGCCGTGACGTCAGTGTCACCGGCCGGCGTTCAGAGCCAGCCGGCCGAGCCGCAGTCTACGCGGCGCGAGCGAGCAGTGAGGGCCGGCGGCGGGCGCGTCTGAGATAGCTGGAAGATGGAAGATAGCGCCAGTTGTCTGCGTTTGATGCGATTGTTGCTTTGACTGGTAAGTCAAAGTACCATTTACGAGTAGCATTTGCAAGATTGTGCCTTGTAATATCGTGCGGTCTAGGCTATTTGTAGCTCTAGCCTCTAAGGTGTTTACATGTTTGATCTAGCCTGTCGCACTGTTACGGAAGTGGTGCAGGTATTTTTGTGATTTTTTTCATGAATTGAATGTCTGATTTTCCCTCATGTCTTCCCGCAGACGTCCTGCAACTCGTCAGCGCGCCTTGTGGCAGGCCTACTGTCGGCAATGCGGTAGCGAAGTAGCTGTCCGGAAGCTGCGACCGGAACGGGGGGTGCGCAGACCGTCTAGTCAGGCACTGCCAGCTGCCTAGGGACATCGAGGCCGCAAATGAGCCGGTGCCTAAGGTCCGCCGAGTGATCCTCCCAGCGAGGGTTAGTGAAGAAGTGAACTTCCACCAGTTCTGGCGTGCTAGCGACTAGCGCCAGAGCCGGTAGAACCCAATTCCGTCCCACGCCCCCATGGGGGCGCCCCTGGGCCCCATGCCCCATCACCGATGCCGCCACCGTCGTTTTTTTTTTTTGTAAATTGTCCTGTATGATGTATTGAAATATACACTTCTTACATGTCTTTTTTTACAAGTCTAGAGAACGGGAAGAGAGCGTCGGAAACACATTCTGAGTATGTTGCGAACACGTTGAGAGGGCGTTGCGAAAATGTTTAGGACGTTTACTCAGGGTCGCAGGGACGGCAATACGAAGTAGCGACAACGTGGTGCGCACGTGATAAAAACGTCGCAGAGACGTTGCCGAAGCGTTCTATACTCCTTGTAGTCACGTTGCGGAAACGTGGTGACAACGTTCCAGAAACACTGTTGGTACGTTACAGAAAACATTTCATAACGTTGGCGGGACGTTGTTAGAACAGTTTTGGGACGTCACGGCCACGTTACAGAAACGTTGTGATGACATTCTAATGCATGGTCGGATGACGTTGTCACGCTGTTGTCTGGAGTCTACAAAATTACGTTGTCACAACGATAAATCGGGACGTTGTGGTAACCATTTGACAACGTTTAAACGACGTTGTAACAACGGCAAATTGTTAGCTGGGATAGCCTTTGAGTTATTATCGGTTTTGTCGACAAAAGAATACCTACCACGCAGTCTGCTGAGAGCTGTACTAGGCAACTGACGCCCTATCGCTGATTTTCGATAAAATGCGTTTTGCTCGATGTTATAGCGCATTCCCTAGAAGACCCGTAACCGGCAGAACATTTTATCTTTGACCTGACCTGTGACGTCATCGGTGATCCCGAGGTCAATGAAATTGGATTTCCTTCGACAAATATGAAAGGGCTTTCGAACGCCGCTTGAATTTTGCGGATCCATCCAGTAGTTTCGGAGATACGAGGGGGGGGGGCAAAAAATAGCCCCCCCCACCAGGTCACGCTATGAACGGACCCCAACAGGGCGCGGTTTAAAGACCGTTTGCCCCTGTACTGCCGGTCTCGGACGGGCCATGCCGACATCGTTGAGCACAGCTGTCAACCTTTTGGCGAGGCCAGCTTCGCGCCAGCCTCTGAGGGCTGAGGCTCTCATACACTGGTGCAGGGGCGCGGGAACTACTTTCCGACTGGGGGGGGGGGGGGGGGCACACCATAATAGAGATTAACCTAGGGTACCCCCAAATCTAGTTTTCTCACCGGTTTTAGGCCACTTATTTTTCACCCCTCGGCTTTTTCAACAAAAAAGAAAACATTTGCAAAAAAGTGTGGTATTCCGTCTCAAAGCTGTGGGGGCACCGCCCCCAGGCCCCAGAGTTGGGGGGCTTGCTGCCCCCACTACCCCCCGGCTCCCGCGCCTATGCACTGGTGACACGGCCTTCACGAAAGACCCAGCGCCGCGCCGGCTCTCTGGAGCGCTCATCGCTCACCCTGACCTGAACAGTGACGGTCGCAAGGAAAGAACCATCTGGACAAACACTGGAAAGGAGAAAGGCGTGGGTAGGTCCTATAAAACTAAAAGGACCGAGATGCCCTTTAGCAGTCAGGTCCACCGGTCATTGGCATTGCGCACCATCCCCGGCCCTGGTGGGATCAGCGCGTCGCAACATCTTCACGAGTGGCAAAATCGTCCACAATAGGTCGGTACTGCTCGTGAACACTGCTACAAGTATGTGTGTGTATGTATCACACAATCAGATGATTGTACAGTCGCGAAAAGAGGCGGTATTACAGCAGCTGTCGGGCGCCGAACCGTCCCCATTGCGACCGTGTGTGTGTTTGTGTGTGTGTGTGTGTGTGTGTGTGTGTGTGTGTGTGTGTGTGTGTGTGTGTGTGTGTGTGTGTGTGTGTGTGTGTGTGTGTGTGTGTGTGTGTGTGTGTGTGTGTGTGTGTGTGTGTTGGGGGGGGGGGGGGCTGGGAGCGGTATACGCCGGGCGCTGCAGACAATGGAGGGGCCCGTCACTCAGGCGGGCCGGCAGGCGCGCCTGTCACTCCAACCAGCCGACAACAAAAACAGCCGCCACGGCGCACCCCTGCCGGCCGCCGCCGCACGGTCGGTAGGTACGGGGGGCGCGCGTGCGCGGGCACCCACACACACTTTTCCAAGACACGTATGTGGGGAAGGTGCCTCAATTGCGCCCGCGAGATAAATGCGCCATCCCGGGCCCCAGGCAAAATGGCTGGATGCATGCAATTAGTTATCTGACCTGGTGACCCGACCTACGGTCACCCGGACCTGAAATTTTCAGGTCATATGTAAAAAGGTTGCCCCATAGGCTGTGCGCCGCCGTTTTTACGCTATCTTTGGAAAACCTTAGAGGGGGTCGTATCGACCCCCCCCCGCCCTGCCAGGGCGAGGGTTAACCCGCGAGTTGCTGGGGGGGGGGTGTTAAACGCCCCCACTTTTTTCGCCGGGCCATAGCACAAAAACGGCGCGCCTGCGGGGTACCTCTAGGGAACTGATTGAAACTCAAATTTTCAAAAAAAATCGGTCGGAAATTTTTTGAGATATCGAGGTTTTAGTGACGTCATGATTTATGAGTTTTCGACAAAGAATGGCATAAGTGTTCAAAAAATCATATAAAATCACAGAATAGACATACAGACATGCCGTAAACGCCATTAGACTGCCAATACCATGACAAATCAAATGGCTATATTCGATTATTGATTATCATTCCACATTTTCCAGAATCTTGAACTGAATCTTGGCAATTTCTCGTGACTACTTCACGACCATGATACATGCATTTCTTAATTTGAACTTTTTGAGCCAAACACGTACACATATGATGAAATGAATGTCACCATCGTGTTCTACGCCCCAAATTACCCATTAAACATGTGTCACGGGCTGCGAATATCAGTTTTGATTTTCGGGGATATGTGCCTACCCGATTGACCTGACCTTGACCCTGACCTATGCTTGACTGACCCCTACATGGAGCTGACACTCTTGTAGGCCTTATATGTGATGGATTGTGCACCGTTTTGACAGAGTTACTGACGAGAGGCGCCCATTGCGAAGTCCTGAAGTCCATGCTACTGAAAGCCCGATTTCAGGTGTTTGACCTGACCTTGACCTGACCTGTGGCCTCAAAATTTAACTTTAAATTACTCATCTGAAGCGTCTCGTCGCGTTCTTTCGTTTGCCGCCTCGTGCGTTTCGCTGCGCCTATTGGTTCTCGAGTTATCGGCTGGGGGCGTTTAACGCCCCCCCCCCCAGCAAACGGTGGGTGGCGAAATACCCCAGCAACTGCCGGGTTAACAGGCCTACACAGACAATCAGTTCAATCGGCCTCTTCACGGCCTAAAATGTCGCAACTCCGCAAGGCCCCAAGTGCCAGGGTATCTTTCATCGAAACATGAAACTAACAGGACTTAGTATCCTCCCTAAGCCTCACGCCTTCAGTCCGCTGACCACACTAATCACTTCAGCATTCGCGTGTACCCAATGGCGGATTTCAGAACCCACCAAATCAGCTCCGTTCGTTGTCAAAACAAATATATTTTGGTATGTACGTTTGTACAAAAAGTGGGCACGTTTATTCGGGGACGCACAGTATAGTCGATAATGAGTATACACCATACAAAACAATTGGGCTTCGTCGGGCACAGCACAGAATGTAACGGCGCCCACTGTTCCACCATCCCCGACAAAATCACAATGTGAACGAAAATCGAGCCGAGTCCGGCCGGCCACCCTGCCTCCCCGTTAGAGGTATTGTGTCAGTGTATGTGTGTCAGTGTGTGTGTGTCAAAGTGTCTGTAATTTACGCTATCCAGCTACATCCGCTCGCCGACCGACGGCCGGCCAACGCGAGACAACATTGCAAGCACCCAAAAACGGCAGCCAGCGGACACAACTGAACAGGCCTAGTGCCGCTACCTGCTGCAGAGTCTAGCACATGAACGCATGTAGAGACGCCGGTGGCCGGCGAGGCGAGACGAGCACATCGACAAAAGTCCGCTACAAAACACCATTTCATAATTACAATGTCGTCACATTAAAACAATACAACGAGGTCCAATAAATTAATTTAAAAAATTCCGGTCTGGTGCGTCACAAGGGCAATTTCGTCAACGGGGAAAGTTGTCAGAGTTAGGTATTATGCGTAGGTATTGGGTATTTTCTATTTTGTCACGGGCTTTTGCTGATGTCCTCAGCCGCGCGCCGGGCCCGGTGGCCCACGATGAAATCATATGGGAGAGCCGACTAGAGGAGGGGAAACAGCACACTCGCCGCAACGGAGATTCAGACAGAAACCAGCGTATGAGACACGCACACGCATCACACGCACACGCACACGTATACATATACATACATATATATAGGCGTCGATTTTCACACTACTTTAGAAACGCATTCTAGAACGAGTATGTACAATGGGGCTTCAGAAGCCAGGGCGCGCTGCCAGGGCGCGCGCCGGCCGAGCGCGGCCCACGGGTGCGCTGGTCGGGCGGCCGCCACTCCGTCGGCGGGCCGTCACTCGCCGTCGCTGGCGGCGCCGCCGGTCACACTGTCCAGTTCACAGGTGGCGCGCGGCCGCACGATTTGTGGTGAGATTCGGGCCGACCGGCCGGCGGTCGGCAGGCCGTCGCTGACGCCGGTACCGGTTACACGGTGGCGCCGCGCGCTCTGAAGCACGCAGCGCGCAGTGGCACGCGCTCACAGAGCGCCCAGCGGCGCGGCGGCCGCCGCCGTCCGACGGCCCCACATTCACGCTAACTCTGAAACAGAGCAGAGGGGCGGCTCAGTGATCGGCGTTTGGTTGTGTAATCACTCCTCACAGTCACGGACAGAAGGGCCCAATACCGGCCGGGTCAGATCACACAATTACAACCAACCGAGGTCCCCTCGCGGGAACCAGCAGAGATTCTCGGAGAACGTCTTGGTATGCCAATGGATGTAGCGATCAAAATAGCAGTCGGGTTGGCAGGGAAACGACCTAGAAAATGCTTTTCTTTTGCGGTGTTAGTGATTTCATTTGGTTCATTTCGCGGTAATGCTCACTTTTACCTGGAGGTAGGTACCTATTGAGTGCTGCGTTTTATGCAATATACCTAATGACAACTCATTAAAAAATGTAAAAGAATAAAACAAAACCCATTGTTCTAAAACAAAACCAGCTAAGCATAAAAAAGTAAGCGGACAGGATAACACAGCACTTCAAGCGCAGGAGCCATGCTCCCAGCATACAAAACCAGTGTCGCTGATAGCCTCACGGAGCAGCTATCACAGGGCCTGGGGCTCACCCTGAGCTTTGAGCCCAGTCCCGTTTGGCCGTGCCTTCTCGGTAAGAATAAACTGCGGCTGAGCTCCGCGGGGCGCCGCACACACCCCACCTCCCTGTCTGAGGTCCATGACCTCGCCGGCTCCCCTGGTAGGGACGAGGGCGGAGGGAAAGTATGACATTGCCACCTAATCGCCAAGATCAGCCGATGCAATAACGTCCCGTCCGCACCCAGCCAGCCGCCGGCAGCTTTTGGGCCGAACAATGCTCGAGAAGAGGTCATTCTGCCAGCGCTGACGTCCCAACGGATTCTAAAACAATGCGACACAATTGCCGATTGTTGTCCGGCCCTGTCTGGCGGCCCGGGTCAGAAATTAGCGGCCTTTGCCGGGGCCGAGGGTCGACGGTCTGCCGGGGCGCAGCAGCAGCAGCAGGAAGACGTCTGTCGGCCTGTGTCCGCGGCTCTGACGGGTCCTCCCTAATCCGCGGCACGCCGGGCCGGCCCGGCCGCACACGGCGGGGAGGAGCCAGCGCGACGACGGGAGCTCGGCCGGCGATACCCTATCATTGGCGGCGGCGCAATTTGGCCAGCCGCCCCCCGCCGGCCGGGACCGCCCCCCGCCGGCGCACACCGGTTACACGGCTAATGAACAATTTACGCCGAAAGCCGGGGAATTCGGATGAGTCGGCACAGCACAGCGTGTTTTCCGAAATCGAGCCGAACCGTGCCTTCTGGCCGGAGCAGCTTTCTCGGCTGCTTTCTCATCAGTGCTCCGGGCAAAGCGTGACATGTTTCGCCCTAAGAATAAGCGCTGCTTCAATCTGGATTATTCGGACACGAGAAAGAAGATGTGAACATTAATAAACTAAGAAATGATCAGCTTCTTCAAAGCAATCGGAAGACTTGCACGTTCAACGGTAATCCATACCTAAGTAGGCATGAATATGAACATCCTTTGCATTTTTTTTTGCCAAATATCGTCCATTATCCAATAACATGACAGTTGGGTGACAACTACTTTTACAATTTCCTCATCCGCTTAAAATTGTTGCATTTTGAGTTTCAATAAGTATCGTGCTTTGATTTAGCGCGAGTCAAATGTTAACCTTACAACCATGAGTAAAACCATCCCCAACTATTTAACTAAGCGCCCAGCAACCATTCACCAAACGCCGAACACTGTGACAATCCCCAGATACACCATTTGTCAGCAAAGACGCATTGCAGGCGTACAAAAGGCGACCACGAGCACTCACGGCAAGCGGCACGGCGGTCGGCCGGCACGGAGATAAATCTGGCCGGCTCCCGGGCGCAGAGTGTGCCGCCCGGCAGCTCTGGCGGGCCACGCCGCGGCGTCTCCGGCACGGCCCCCGCGGGAGGCACGGCCCCGGCCCAGCGCGCGCCCATATACCTGTCCTCCACCGCCGCCGCCCAGCGCGCCGATAAATATCATCCGTCCGACGCGAAAAAAAAACTCCGCTGCCGTGCTCGCTCTAACGCTCAGTAATCAAGTAATGGAACGTCGCGGGCGGCTGCGGCGCACACTGCGCGAACAGAGCCGCCGCCGCTGTGCCACCGACACGGCGCGCCGGCCCGCAGACGATGATAAATCGATCATTTAGCGGTGATTAATCGATCAAGGAGGTGGCAATGTTCGCACGCGCCGCTACCGGCGTCCGGCGTAACCGATTGTTTGCAGATTAGCCGGCCGTCGCGGGGGCTGCCAGCCACCGGCCGGCCGGACGCCGGACAGCGGAACATCAACTGCAGCCGGGTGGAGCCGGCGGGTCGAGGCAGCGAGCTGCGCAGAGGCCGGCAGCCATTCAGGTGTCAGTCCGGCCGAGACACGTCGCCCGCCGCGCCGGGAGGCCGGCGACCAGGCGTGACACGCCGGCTGGCCGCGCTGGCAGCCCACGTGGAAGGTGCGCCGGCCGATCGAACTGGGCCTGTCAATGGCCGCCGCGCCGCCAGCCGGTGAATCGGCAGTTTTTCCCGGTCGGCACTCACTGACCGCCGCTCTGTGCCACCGCTCGGTGTCGCGGCGCTGTTTGGACAGCTGCGCCGGCGCGGCGGTCCGACCGGCCGCCGTCCCCCAGCAGTGGGGCGCAGTCTGCAACGCACACAGATGTGGCGGCTCTGGCGGTCAGCCGGTCCGGCCGGCCGGCGGGGGACTGATGAGGCCGTTTAAATGCATCATGGCGCGCCGCTCGGACACGGACCGACGACGCCGGATTCCGTTTGAATCGTGTCGGCTGCCGGCCGGCGGCGCGGCCCGCATACCGAGTGGCGGCCGGCGCCCCGTCACCGCGCCCCCGGGCGTCACCGCGCGGCGCCGGCCGCGCCCCGCGTCCGATACCGGCTCCGACGTCAGTCCACATTTACATTACAGCAGGCTCACGCAGCTCCATTCGCCCCACCGACCCACCCGAGGAGCCATCCTCCGAGACCAGGGCGCTCGGTGACACTGTGGGCACTGCGGGAGGCGGCGACCGAGCCCATCCAGCCTGTCCCTGCGGCCGGCACCCCGCGCGGCCCGACCGCTTTCACTCCTTACGGGCCACCTCTTTATCCCCGGGCCCGCTTTCACGGCGTATCCGTGGCGAAAAACGGCCGCAAGAAGCGCCGTGCGGCAGCTGGGAGCGGCTCGGGAGGGAGGCCGTCCAGCCGGGACCACTGTCCCCTCACTGGGTCCGACTGGCGGCCCGGCTTCCCACGGGACTCCGAGGGGGAGGCACGGACCGGTAATGCGCCGACAGCTGACCCGGTGATGGCCACTGGCAGCCTGCCGACGACAGCCTAATGAACACTTGCACGAGAAAAATACACAGAGCCGGGGCGAGTACACCGGCGCGCTTAGTGCGTCGGCAGGGGCGCGCCGGACCGACGCCCGATCACCGCACGGCGCGGCACCACTCACCTCAGATAGCAAAAGCCCTTGTTAATAGCCCATCCCCGGTTGTGAGTCCGAGTAGGCGCCCTGCAAAAGAGCAGACGGGCGGGCGTCAGTTGGTCAGGTGATTATACAATTACAATGCACTCCAGATGGGGAGCCTAACGGCGGCCAGCCACCACTTCACATGATCTATCACACATTCTGGCGGAATAATCGGCCACACCAGCTCACTTGGACCATCCATCCATCAATCCAGAGAGCATTTAGCGATTGAACTAGCACGTAACCAGCACCTATCACACGTAATTACAGCCTGTACCGACCAGCCTATCGGGACCATCTAAATAAAACATGCAAACAAATGTGAGACGTTCCCAGCCCAAACGGCAGTTTGGCATCAATTTAAGGAGTCATCAGCACGTTCCATTGGTATTTTACTGATGCTATCATTACCTCGGATATATAAACAATGAAGCCTCATTGTAGTGCAACACATTTCAAAATACAAAAAGGTGCTTTATCAGCCTGACGTCCTGTAGAGGAATTTCTGTACGAGACCGCGGCATGCACAATGGCCACTCGAGCGAAGCTATTTCCTGCTCAGCGTTTAAAACGCCGTCGCTGATCCTCACTAACAAGCCAACATACTTCGCTGGCTTCCTGAAACCCGCGGCGCCGCGATCCGAGGAAAGCCGCCCCAGAGCCGGCCGAAGCCTGCGGCTGGCCGCCGGCCCACTCACCTGACCCTGACTGTTGTACTGGGCGCCGTTCATGGACATGTTGTAGCCCATGTCGGCGGGAGGAGGCGACATCATGGGGCCCGGCGTGCCGGCGCCCATGCTGTACGGGGAGGAGCCTGCGGAGGAGAGGAGACGCCGCCGGTCAGCTCACGGGTCACGACATCAGAGCACGGCGCACGTCCGCCAGAGGCTGCTGCAGCCGACACACTTGGTGGTGGGTTTGTCCAACACCTGCACACAACCAGGCCGCAAATAACCTATCAGTGGCGGCACTTGTATGCAGCAAACAACACTCGGGTAGGCTGCAAGGGAAGGCTGTATCAAACGACTAGCAGACAGAAAAAAACGCATCCCGTGGCAATTGATGTGTAAGGCTTCATCGCGCAAAAAGCAGAGGGGCGCGGGCGGCGCGGTGCTTCAGGCCAGAGTGCGCGCTGACGTGTGCTGAAGTGTCCGAGCCGCGGTGCGGTCCCGGCTCGGGGCGATCGGTCACCGCGTGACCCGCGACCTGACCTGGCCGGCCCGCTCCGACACGCCGGTAATTATCAAATGATGGCGGCCAGCCGGGCCAGCGGCGCCGCCGGCACCGCTCCCGGCGCCCGGCCGCCACATCAGATTAGGTAATAATCGGCCGAAAATCACCAGATGTGGCCCCGACAAATTACAGATATTTTTACAGCTAATCACGTGGGCTCCTATTACACGAGACGGCGCTAATAATACGGCACGGACGCTCTCCGGGCCAGGTCCGAAGTAGGCGCGCGGCACCCACTGCACTCTCCCCAAGAAAGTTCATGGCGAAGAGGGGACGGCACCGTCTGCCTCGTGCAGGGGTGGGCGAGGGCTATATGAATTCGGTCTGAAACCAAACAGCATCAGGGTGGGGATTTTTCACCAGCAACAACCGGTTTGCCCCTGGAGACACTCGCTTCAGGAGCCCCAAAACGGGCCCGCAGAACTTATCCGGGCATTATCTTCATAACCAGCCGCTAGGACCATCGCCACGGGGCGCCGGCCGCGGCCGAAGTAACTCATGAATAAGTGCAGAGTTAACCCACCCAGGAAGCCGGGGCGCAGGCCCCTTTATCAAGCGGCCCACGCCCGCGGCTCCAGCGGCTCCAGAACTGGCCCGTCCCAGATCCGGGCTCAGACTGGCTGCAGCCCCTGAAAGAAGAGGACCTGCAAGGCTGACCAAGAGCGCCGCCGAGCCGCCGCCGCCGGCTTCTAATACCCACGTCACCATAAATTGCGATTACGAGTAATTAAAGCTGAGTCTGATAGCGCTCAAAGGCACGGCGATGCTTTATAGGGCGGCCGCAGACGGAGGCAAACAAAAATCGCCGCTCGTCGGCACAAAGCGCGCTGCCTCGGCCGTCCGCGGCCAGCCATAGCGGCCCGCCGCGTGGCGCGCAGATAGAAACCCCGGTCGGCGGAGGCCAGCTTCTAGACGCTCATCTTGGGAGGATCACAATATGACACAGCGGGCGCACCCTGAATATTTAGCAGCGCCGTCGGCCGGCGAATAACAATGGCCGTCGGCCGGCGAGGAATCCGCCGGCTATATCTGCGGACTTGGACGAGCCCCGGCCCCCGCAGCCCGGAACCGCTCCTTTGGAATCTTTATCCAGCGGCCCGAATCTGGCGTCCTTTATGCTACATTTGAGCCGCTGTTTCGCTCTAATCTTCTCATGATGGACTGCGCCGGGTCCGAGGCTTTAGCGACTTGTGCTGAAATAGTACTAAGTTTGCTCGGCCTCCACCACCCGCAGCATGACGCACCAGGTGGAGATCGTGCGGCCGATGTTCGTCCGGTCCCGGCGGACAAATCAGATGAAGCCACTCGGCGCCTGTCGCCCGCTCGCTCCTCAGGAATGGGCCATGATACGTCCGTTACGACGAGCTACTGCGTTCATCACGGCCTCCCACTAGTGGCAGCTGTCCCCGGCGCTGCGCGATTGTCGTCCGGAGCCGGGCCGCTGGGAGCGCGGCACATACAGAGCAGGACTGACGGGTGGCCGGCGGACGGGCGTCCGGGTGTCGTCGCACAGCCGACCAGCCCCTACCGCTCAGCCCGCTGACGGACCGGCCGACAGACCCGCTAACAGACCCGCTAACAGACCCGCTGCTGACGAAGCCCGGCAGCGGCACGGCGGCGCTGATTTACGGACGGCACCGGCCGGTCGCACGGTCGACCCTCCCCGCTCCACGGCGGCGCCATTAGCCGCCCCGAATAAAGCTCGACTGTCGACTGCTGTAACCAGCCCGGCCGGCCCGGCCCAGCGGCGGCGGCTCCTCCGCCCGCGCCGGCCAGACTCACCTCCCTAACGAGACCCATTGCGACGCCCACAGGCGATACAACTGACGAGTAAATTCTCCAGACGGCCCCTTTCAGGTGGGCGCCGCGAAACACGAATGGACCAGACCGTCCGCAAGTGTTTGCATTTGAGAGAGGCTCCAGCAAGTTTCCTGGCTTACAAATGGCCCGCTGGCTGCAATCTGTACAATCGAACGGCCCATGGGCGGCTCAGCCAATGCACGGATCACACGGCCGCTAACGGGCCTATGCGGAGCGTCCGGCACGAGCTAGGCGCTGATCGCTCATTTATTGCGATAGCAGGCGCTGATTAGTGATTACATAGACCAAATGGCACCAGTGTGTGTTTTGCCGGATAAAACGTGAACCGCAAGTATCTTGAACTGGTAAGTCCGGCATCATTATTTATACCTAGAGAAGTTATGGCCGTCTGATTTTCACGGGCCAACGGCGCTGCTGAGAGTTGTGCGGTACAGCCTACCATCAGGCGCACACTACTGGCGACATCTAGTGACGAAATTTAGAAGCGTTAACAAGAGACCTCGGACCATGCGTTACCAAAGGAGGATTGTTTGAATATTTAACCCGCGCCCCAGTGGCCGTCTCAGCCAACTTCGCTCTAGTGGGGGGGGGGGGGGGCATATGTTACCACCCACCTCTAACTCAAAAACTAAGAGGGCTAGAAAGACGCGGTAAAAAGCAGTCGATAGCTCTCAATGCATACGTTTGAAAGTATTTCAGTCATTTTTCACCTTAGAGCAATATTGGGGTCACCAGAGGTCATCAAAGGTCAAAATTTGCCAATTGTCATTATATTTTTCAGAAAACATGCCGCTATCTCAGGAACTATGGTAGCTAGAAAACGCATGGAAGAGCAAACGATAGCTTTTGAACTCTTCTTTTGAAAAGGTCATTATCAATATTGACCTCAGGTCAACGGTTTAGCCTCCAGAGGGCAAAAACTCCAAAAATAGCTGTTTTTACGAAAAGTGTTTTTCGACAATAACTTTCGACTACAAAAAGCCACGACATTTCTATTGCCAGAATCGTGTTCCCCTCGCCGAGACGCGTCGAATGAACTATAATTTGACCTTGAAAGGTCAACTTGAAAATTTGACCTCAGGTCAAGGTCATGACCTTACCGGAAAAGGTCATGTTGCATATCAGTCGATGCGTCTCAACAAGACAAACACAATGAGACCATCCCCAGCGTTCTATCTCTTTCCAATCGCGAGTTATTGGCAAAAAAACTGTTTGTAGCCTCAAGTGACCTCGGATGACCTGTCTAGAGGCTATCAGCAAAAATGACACCTTGGTCATCACAAGTGGACTAAATCATTGTGATTCTGAAATATTTGGACTGTTCCGATGCGTACACACGGATCTAGAGGCATTTTCATTTTTCTCCACTGACTTGTAATGGAAAGGTCACGCCACTGACCTGACCTTAGGTCAGGGATATGAAAAATCCGAGATATACAAATTGTAGGCGCCCATAACAGCATGCAATCCACCCAGTTTCAAACCTTTCTGACAAACACTCCAGGCTGGACATGATTGCAAACTTTTTTTAGGCTTGGTCAGTTAACTTGACCTGGTGACCTGACCTGACATGACCTGGGGTCAAAAATTTCACACATTGTCCAAAATTGATGTACCAAAAGCTACCCCAAGCGGAGCGGCGCTACGCGCCGCGGTTTTTTATTCACACGCAAAAAACGCGACAGGGTGGTAACATATGCCCCCCCCCCCCACTGGGGCGAAGGTTAACTCCCAGTTCGGCCGAACGGCGCGGTCAAATTCCTGCGTAATTAATTGTTCATAACTCCTTGTGTACTACAACAAGAACTCTGCTGCCCATGGAACTTCAAGGCATGTTTTAAAACAATTAGGCAATCGCAGACCTTTGATTCATGAAGGAGGGGTAAAGTTAACGCGTCGCACTATATAAACATCAAATTTTCCAGTTTCGATTCCACCCAAAACAGTTGAATCCCGTTCCGTTCTAGTCAGAGACAATTGGGTCTCTGCCGGCCGTTTTCGGTCGCGCTGTCCCCTAACCCGAAGTAGGGGGGGGGGGGAGGGCGGTCAGACGACACCCAATCAGCGCCAGCCAGCCCCCCCCTTCTCCCCCCTCCGCGGCCGGCTGCCGGCGACAGACGGCGATGGCACAAATTGTGACGGACTGAGCCCGAGCAGCAATTAAAGGCCGGCAGCACGTTGCAACCGAAGCCATTTCGCCGATATGGCACATTCCGCGCCGGGAGCTTCATTACGCCCCGAGAGGCGCCGTGGGCGGACGAGCCGCGCTCCGGCCGCCGCAGCTGCTGCAGCCACTGAGCGGACACCGGCGGCTGCTGAAGCCACTGAGCGGACACCGGCGGCTACTGCAGCCACTGAGGGGACACCGGCGGCTGCTGAAGCCACTGAGCGGACACCGGCGGCTACTGCAGCAGCTGAGCGGACACCGGCGGCTACTGCAGCCACTGAGCGGCCAATACCGTACTCGGAGGACGGCAGAAGCAGAGGCCCTTGTCCGGTGACAAATTTTGAAACAAGTAGAGAATGTGATACTTTGATTCAATAGTGTGAAACAGACACGAAATTTAAATGCAGCGTGTCACGCGAAAATTTTAAATACAGTTTCAACACTTTGAGACGAGCTGAGTGGAAATCGGACACTGGAATGCAATGACATCACAACCAGGGAAATTTCAGTACATCACTGAGAGGAGCCCTCGCCCTGCACCGCGCCGCTCCGGACAGCCTGTCTCGCAGCTCGCGGTCCTCTTACAGTCCGGCGGTCCTACCGCAGGCCAGGAAGGTCCTTCCGCAGTCCGTCGGTCCTACAGCGGACCAGGATGGCCCTCAGTACAGCCAAACCAAGATAGCCGGATCGCAGCCTCCGCCGCTGATGAATCTCAATGGAAATCTCGCCGGGGCAAACTTCGATGGGAACAAAGACGGCAGCCGCGCTAACTTTAATTCAATCTCATTTCGAATGCGTCTGACAACAGCCCGGCCGTCGTCCGGGGCGGCCGCGGTGCGGGGCCGGCGGCCCGCGCTCACCCGGAGCTACGGGCCGGAACAATGCGCAACGAGACATTACGGCTTTATATATTCATTTAGTTTCACATCAGCCGCACTTTTCGGACCATTACACGGCTATTACGTGTTATTATTCCAGCATATTTTATGCATAATTATGTTTGTCTGAGGAATGGGCGTAATGATCGGCCGCCTACGTCGATAAAGCACGATATGGCGTAATCAAAAGGGCAAATCAAACACTTGACTGAGAAAACTCACGAACATCTGCAGGCAGTACAGGCACATTTAGTTCGATGTTTAGCTTGTTATCTTGAGGAAAATGTACCAAAGGAGTTGTTGTTAAATGCTAAATGCTCGAGAACAAATCTATCCAATTTAAGCAGCCATTTCAGGAGAATTATGAAGCCGAACAAAGAAGCTTTGCTCTGCAATGGTAACATAGGACGATGCGGCATCAGTAAACAATGTGCATTAGTGATTCAATGCGTCCTTAGCAGCGCTCAGCACCCTTACTTGCATTGTTTTCTTTGGTATCTTCCGATACAAAACAACAGGCACATTTAGGTACTAGAAAAATGACAGGGGAATATTAATACGCTGTTTTATCCGAATTAACGCTACCTTACTTATATGTGAATAATTTTGTGCATGACTAACATAATTGAAACAATAAGTACTTATTTCACCTCTGGGATAATGTAGTCACTGACTACAAGTCCGTTTTACTGCAGGGTAATAAAAGCATACTCTAATTTTCGTATCAGCCTAAGGGCTATCAAATCGAAAACTGCATAAAGCCAAAGGAAAAAGATAATTGTCAAGTATTGCACATGTTTGGTAATAGATGTGAAAGCAATGCAAATTCTACTTTCGTTGGATGCTTTTATATTTTGTGTTGAAATTAACTCACCGGAACGAGAAAGCCTTCCCAGCATTTAATTTTTATATACCTAGCCGGGCCTGGGAAAAACCTAAATACCTAAATGTTATGCGTCTGTCCTGTCCAGCCCAAAAATTCGCACCAATTTTATTCAAACTTTTGTGATGTGCAAAATTCCACTGGAGCGGAATGGACATTAGAGCTGAACACGCCGGCGCTCTCATTATTGCTCTATTTGTATTTAAAACTTCCTCATAAGCTAGAAACTGCCATGGCCCACCCAGCGATTCTTGTGTTTACTTGGACCCACAAGACCTTTTTGAGCTGTGGCCTGTGATTGTCAGTGGGCCGGGATCGGCGGGGTGGGCTCCCCACGGCTCGTCCTGTGAGTCCCCCGATGCCGGTGATCTCGGCGGCCGGGCGCGCACCTGAACTGGCCAGCGATGGCGGCCGACCCCGGCCGGCCGGTGACGGCGCCGCCCGTAACTCGGGGCGCCGCCGTGACGGTGGGCGGCGTCACGGCGGCCGGCGGCGCCGGGGGGCGGGGTCTGCCGGCGCCGCCGCCACTGGCCGCCGCGCCGGCACGCTATCCGCTCGTTAGTGGCGGCAATGGCTGCCGCGACACGGTCACCCGGACGGCCGCCGCTCAGTCGCTGACCGCCGCCGCCGCCGCCCGGTCGCACCTGACGCTCCTGGCGACCCGGCTGCCGCCGCGCGCACCAGACGCGTCTGCCGGCCGCGGCGGCCGCCCCGTCAGCGGTACCCCGGCACGGCCGGCGCACTTCGCCCGATCGCGGTCCACATGCTCGCTCCCGACGGCGTCATTGGCCGGGCATGGATGCACCTGGTGCCGGCGCATCAATGACGGACACACACGCCGACGACGGCTGTGCGCCGGGTCTGATCAGGCCCGGCAGTGGCCCCCAGTCCCACGCACTGCCGGGCGCGGCGGCGAGCGGCCGGCGTCAGCGTGTCTTCCACTATTCGCCGCCGTGACACGTTTACGGCCGCTGATTTTTGACAGCACAAATAAGCTCACATCAAGCCTGAAACGGGATATGGCGGTACCGCCGTGTAAGTCCCGGCTTTTTACGGTCCCGAATCAAAGGTCATTTGTATTTGAAATGCATCCCGGCCCGTTCGCCGGCTGTCGTTGCCGCAGGACGGCGTCAGACACGCGGTGCAGCACACACACACAGTCCGATCCGTCCGGTACATCAGTCCGGTGTTACGTGTGACGGGTGGCTGGGGAGACGCGCGCGCTTAGAGTGTGTCCGCAGAGTGCCGGGCCTAGTACATATATGACATATAGCAAATGATACGTGCAGTGGGGGTCACCCATATGCATCGAGAGTAGTCCGATGCTTGAAGGAAGGGATGCAGCTACCCCACAAAAATATCGCACGTCAATCAGCCCAGCGGTTGCAGAGAGAAAGTCTAAAAAAAAAAAAACACTACTTCGGAAGAACAAATTGGACACCCTTGCCTACTAACATGACCTATGACAAGACAATCAACTTGATGCATCAATAGTAGGTAATAACGAATTAGAAGAAACGAAGCCATAAAAACCCGCAGGTCAATTGGCCAAGCGTTTACTAAGATATTGGCCTCTAAAAAACGTTACAGGCCGGGCCGCTTATGCTGAAATTTTCCCCGGCACATTGAACAAGATTCGCTTCGCAATTCGCGCGCTCGTAAGAACAAGTCAATTTCAAATACCTAGGCAAATTCAACATACTTTTGCATTTTCTGGCAATCAGTGGCAGTTTAGGCAAGGATGACTTGCTTTTGGTTATAATGCATAGGCGCGGGAGCCGGGGGGGGGGGGGGGCAGTGGGGGCAGCCTGCCCCCCCCCCCCCAACTCTGGAGCCGTGGGGGCGGTGCCCCCACAGCTTTGAGACGGAATACCACAATGTTTTGCAAATGTTTTCTTTTTTGTTGAAATAGCCGAGGGATGAAATATAAGTGGCCTAAAACCGGTGAGAAAACTAGATTTGGGGGCACCCTAGGTTGATCTCTATTATGGTGTGCCCCCCCCGGTCGGAAAATAGTTCCCGCGCCCCTGTTATAATGTGACATTGTTTTGCTTTGAAATGCACACATTTGCTTCGAAATTGACATATTAGTTTGATTTGACTTGTTATAAATCAACAGGAAAGTAGGTGTATGGCTAATAATTTCGAAAAAGGAAAACATACCTGCTGCCTTCTTGGCCGCATACAGGTTGGCTTCTTCTTGAGCTTTTCCGATGTTCTTCTTATATCTTATCCTCTTGTTGCCGAACCAGTTGGATACCTGATGGTGAACAGAGAGCGTTAGCATGCCGCCTTCAAAAGCGCGCAGCACACAAGAGCATGATACCCGTAGTTATTTAAGGGATGATGCTAATGAGTAACCTACTTTCATGCTGAGAACAACTAGAAATAATAAATCGGAAGTAGGTAAGAAATACGAAATGTGGCGTCACGTCTCGCTCAAGCCTCAAGTGGTCTTGAATGTAGTTATATTGAAAGTGGAGTTGGAACGTTACCTCTGGCTCTCTGCAATTTTGGTGTTCTTGGTAGCATGAAAGCATGACTACTCAAAGGTGGCATAAAACATCGCGGCTATATCAAGCAGTTCTCATAACAATGCGGACTATAAACACTTAACTTGTAAAGAGAGAGAGAGAGAGAGAGAGAGAGAGAGAGAGAGAGAGAGAGAGAGAGAGAGAGAGAGAGAGAGAGAGAGAGAGAGAGAGAGAGAGAGAGAGAGAGAGAGAGAGAGAGAGAGAGAGAGAGAGAGAGAGAGAGAGAGAGAGAGAGAGAGAGAGAGAGAGAGAGAGAGAGAGAGAGAGAGAGAGAGAGAGAGAGAGAGAGAGAGAGAGAGAGAGAGAGAGAGAGAGAGAGAGAGAGAGAGAGAGAGAGAGAGAGAGAGAGAGAGAGAGAGAGAGAGAGAGAGAGAGAGAGAGAGAGAGAGAGAGAGAGAGAGAGAGAGAGAGAGAGAGAGAGAGAGAGAGAGAGAGAGAGAGAGAGAGAGAGAGAGAGAGAGAGAGAGAGAGAGAGAGAGAGAGAGAGAGAGAGAGAGAGAGAGAGAGAGAGAGAGAGAGAGAGAGAGAGAGAGAGAGAGAGAGAGAGAGAGAGAGAGAGAGAGAGAGAGACCGATGATTCCTTGAGAGACCCCTATCCCCATAAAATCCTATCACTACCAAAAGCTCTCTTGACTCTTACACAAGTCCCAGAGTCTTTCCAACCCCAACCAGCAGCCACTCTAATTAGAAATTTAAAATCGCTGACGTAATCACATTGATATAAATGAGCAGGCACTCTACGGAGCCCGGTACATATTTCACGGGGCGATTCTAAAGCCGCCTCGGCTGACCTCAAGTCAACAAAATTGCCGCGGGGCATCTCCGAACGCTGGCTGACAAATGCGCGCCGATCGCCGCCATCTCGCCGAATGGACGTCATCAATAGGGCGCGGCGCCATCGGCGGCCGTCGCCGCGACAAATCTCCGCCACGGCCGGCAGCGGGTAGCCGCCCGGCGCCAAATCGCCGCCCCCGTTTAGCTGAGCGGACCGGCGGGACCCGAATCGGCCCGATTGCTTTATTAATTGGCTGCGAGTCGGGAGCGCGGCCCGGACAAATCACCCTCATTCCGCCGGATCGGCCGCCACATTTGCCAATCTAATGAAGATGGTCCACCGGCAGCCGGTAACACAAATTGGAAATACCGCCGGGGCTCAGCTAAGGACCGATGTCCCCGCTGACGGCCAGCCGGCAGCGAGCGACTCCTTACCGAAAGGTTTCAAGCGCTGACTCGACGAGTGCCGCAAACCACGCGCGCGTTTTCGTAAACGAGAGTGACGTCAAATCGCATGTCGTGCTTATAAGTAACTCCTCTAGCGAATATTAATATATGGATCTAGTTTCGTCCCTTTCTTAATCTTGATGGAAAATCCCCATAAAGCTAGCGCAATGTCTGACGTCCCTTGCCACCGCTAACCCCAAGAAGTTTGATAAGTTACGACGACTACCGGCGCTTCTGTTTCCGTCAGGCGCCGTTCGCAGGTCGGAAGAGGCGCACGGCACCCCAGCTTACCGCCGCATCAACCGCATCGTTCCGACCCCAGCCGGCCGTGTGATTTGTGCCGTTTCGATATTGTGATCGTGCCGCGCCTCCCAAAGCCGAGATGTCGAAACGGCGGCGGCCGGCGCTATGTCTGAGCGGCGTTCGGCGCGCGTTTGAGTTGCACGGCGCGAGCAGTCGGGCCGCGACTGCAGTCCGACGGGCCTTCGGCCGGCGCCGACCAGATAACAAACAACACGCGCTCCGCGTAACAAACAAACGGGACGCCGTCCATCCGCAAAAAGTAAACGGGAAGACTTTGGGCACGAGCGGAGCGGGTCGGAACATCGTTAGGGCGGTGAGGTTTGGGCGGACCGGCGCAGCGGCCGACGAGTCCGCTGGAGGCCGGAGCCGCCTCCCAGATCGGTGTGGGATGCGCGACGCTCGCTGTACGAGCGGGCTTGTCGATTCCCCGCCCCAAACCACAACTGGGCTTCTGCGGATATTCCCCTCTAGTTCAATGCTGGCAATTAACGCAATCCCTGCCGCGCACTCAGGGCACGATGGGCCACTTCGGGGCGGACTAAAAACGGAGCTTATCCCGAGTTATCTTAAAGATCGTTTCCGATAAATCTCCCCATTGCACAGTGGGGATTTTTCCGATCTAGCACCTATTAATTCAAAAAATATTTTTTGGATTTTTGTTTATTTTTTGTGTCAGTAGGGCTAAGAAATGTCTGAATTTTTCATATATGGCATTGTTTTATCTGTATGTCCACAGCAAAACTAGGAAAAATGCGCCCAAAGTTCACACTCATGCGTGATTACTCAATGGGCTCAGCAAGGCCCGAAAGTATAGCTCAGTTTCATTGTCCTGTCCTGTTGGTTTTAATCTTGCGAGGTCTTAAAGTTGCATATCGTCTGAAAGGCACCTTTATTAGGAATGGAATGGCAAACAGAAAGTATGCCACAACCTTACTAAGGTCACAAAAATTCCCTTTACAAAAAACCCTTACAGACACCATATTGAAGGAATGGTATTCTAAATAAATGTAGGAAATCAACAATGTTCTCCACAGTTTTCCACTCCGAAATATATCCTATCGAATTCGCCACTTTCTTCTGCACAAGACAACGCCTAGTTTGGCTGCCGAAACTTGCCTGAACACGGAATATTCACATTAGAGTATCTTAACACCCCACTCGAGGAGCGCTAGGGCAAACAGCACGATATAGGTATGTTCCGGACATAGGCGAATAATTTTACTTCGTGATTTATATGATGCATATTTTCTGAGACACATTCATTAGGAATAGGATGACAAGCGTAAATTATACATACCGTAACCTTATTGACCATCGCACTTGTGGGGAGGGGGAGGGGAAAGGGTCGGATAAAACCCCATGGTTTTCCGCAAATTACTCGCGCAAAAAGCGGCCGATCGCGCCGAAACTTTCGGTACCCTCGAGATCATCAATTTTACATCTAACCTAAAAATTTCATGACTCTGACCCAACTGACCTTTGACCTGTGGCATATTTCTCGAGACCATGTTTGGCCGGAATCGCGATTCGGCGTATGCCAGCTCACATTATCCGCGGTTTCCAGTCTTTTTGTGGTTTTAAACGTTCAAATATGTGAAATGATGTTGGTGCCATGAATAATGGTGGGAGTCAAGGTCACGTGAAGGTCAAGTCAAGGTTATTGACCTTTTGATGACCTTGGTTCACTTTTTCGAGTTTTACTTGTTTCTAGGGTAGTTTTTGGTGCTGATTTCGATTTTAGCAGCCATTTGAATATTTACGAAGTAGTTCTAGTGCCTTCGTTCCATGTTACGAAGCTATCAGTAGTAGGTGACACTTCTATGGATGGCCGGCAGGACGCCTACTAATTGATCTAACCTGACCTGACCCGACCTGGCCTAAATGCATAAAGACATCGTCTGTGATCAAAACTAACATGAAATTCGTGATCAGCACCCCAAAATACCCCGTAACACCCTAACTTTGCGAAGTTTCAAGAGGTCGCGATTTCCCAACTTTAGTTGGGTCATTAAACTGACTTGGAAAGTCAGCTTATGACCTTGGACTTTGAAATTGGATATATTCGGCCTAATTTCGTCATAGGCAGCACGCTTGACTTTTCCGCGAAGCTCTAGCTTGATCAGGGGCCAAACGGCTGAGCGGGGGGTCCAATTGAACCCCCTATACTATGTTGATTATGCACATTTACAGGTAAAATTCTCACCAGGACACACCAGCCAACATCTGTGCACAATCTGGCTACAATTCTACCTATGGTTTGCCCTCTACGAATAAATACGTGCTAGATCGGAAAAATCCCCACTGTGCATTGAGAAGGTATAGTTTGTGCTAAATCCGCGCGCACTAACAAAAGTTAGGTCCCAAACAACACATCCCTCCTGTCCCAACATCCCCTCCCCACCCACACAAAGATCACAAACACACACAAAACATCAAACACTTGTCAAGCAGGCAGCAGAGTAGCACCATCACCAGCGAGCGAGCGATAAGTGCGGCCGCCGTGCGTGGCGGCCGGTGCCCCCGCGGGGTCAGGGTACGCCCAGGGACCGGGGTGGCTGCTGCCAGCCTACCTGAGACACCGTGATATTACACTTTCTGGCCAGCTCTTCTTTGACCTCCTCCGTGGGGTAGGGGTTGCTCAAGTTGGCGTAGAAATACTCGTTTAGCAGTTCAGTCGCAGTTTTGGTAAAGTTTCGCCTCTTTCGCCTGCGAACAAAGGGACAACTTAGCGCCGAGCAAAATACGACTCAAATGGCTTGCGCCTGACAGTGGCGGCGCATATTTCAGCGAAATGAGGACGTGAGTGCAACGGGAAAGGATCGAACAGGATCGGAGGAGCTGCGGCGGCAGCGCGCCGAGAACCAACTGGACGGCGACAGGCGAAACCCGGCCAAAAGTGCGTCCGAGCAATGCCTGAGCAGCGAGCGGTGCCCGAGAGGTGTCCCAGGCAGCGGCCACGCCGGGGAAGGGCCCGGGCCCCGGGCGGGTGGGGCGGGACGGGCGCCGATACCTGGCCCACCGAAATGCCGCACGTCTTGGCCAGCTCCTGCTTGGCCTCCTCTGAGGGGTAGGGATTGGCCAGATTGGCGTAGAAGTACTCGTTGAGCAACTGGCAGGCCTTTTTGCTGAAGCTGCGTCGTCGCCGCCTGAAAGGAAGAGACCGCGTGCCCCCTCAGCGGCCGCCACCGGGCGCCCGGTGCATTGGGCGGCACACACACAGACACGCACACACGCACACACCTGTGACACGGTAATGTTGCACCTCTTCGCCAACTCCTCTTTGCTCTCCTCGGACGGGTACGGGTTGCCGACATTGGCGTAGAAATACTCGTTGAGGATCTCGGAGGCTTGTTTACTAAAGTTCCTCCGCCTCCGTCTGGTGGCGGACAGAGGGCGGCGGGTGAGGGGGGCGCGGCGTGGCGAGGCCGCCCTCCTCGTCACACCGCGCGTGTCCACCGGCTACTGTCAGCACGCGACCCCATCTCCCGCACAGTCTGGCTCAGAGAGCAGCCACCAATGTGACGAGCGACGCGACCTCTGCGCCAGTCCTAGTCCAGGTGAAACGGGCAGCTGCTGTTGCATGAAATTGAGATGCAAAAGTCACTCTCGACCCACATATGAATAAAAGACGACTCCGGCGAATGCAGTCGGATGTTCAGTGGCCGCCTGAAGTTGACAAACGATAGGGAGCCATTACGCGGCCCGATAACATGGCCGGATGCTGCAACAAAAGGAGCGACACACAGCCTTGCCACTTATATATCCAAAAATTGCAAACTTCACAAGCTGATTCCACCACCAGCCCGCAGCGCCCGCCGCCGGCGCCGACTCCAAACACAGTAGGTAAAGGTATGGTATCCGCTGGGCGGCTGAGGCGGCCGGCTCGGACCGGCCAGACACAGCCGGACGGCGTCCGCCCGGCCGACTCAGCACACAGCGTCGCACCCGACGAAGCCAATCATCCCGGAGCTCTCTGCGTGACGGCACGATCCGCCGTCGGACGCCCAATTTCGACGAGGCGGTGGACGGCCGGGCCGTTGCCGCGCCGGCCGATGGCGCGCGGCAGGACGGGAACGTGACTGGGCGGCCGGCGGCGCGGCCGACACGGCTTTCATCCCGATTATTGAAGCATTGAAGTCGCCCGGCGACAGATGACACTGCGATCGGAGCCGACAGTTCGCGGAAGGCGGCGGCTGTGGTCCGCGGCAGGCCGCGCCCGGGGGACCGCAGGCCGGGGCACGGACGGCCGATTCGGCTGACGGAGTTCTGCCAGGTCAGCAGGCCGTCAGCCGACAGCCGACCACTGCTCGCCTCCAGGAGGGGCGAGCAGCGCGCCCGCGGGGCCCATCGACAGCCGGCCCCTGAGCGCCATCGGCCGCCGTCTGGCATGCTCCGCGTGGTTCAATGACGGCTAGGAGTCACACCAGCACACGGCGACCACAGCAAACTGCAGAAACACGCCCCCATTGGATGAGAGCTCACAGAGCTCAGCGGCCACTTGGTGAACAAACGCCACCAGATAAAAATTCCCGATATAATTTATGGCTTTATGAGACCAAAAGCGAGCCGCGTCGTTTATCTAGGGATCGACTACATTCTGATAAAGGCCGGCACGGACACAGTAACAAATGATATATGGTAAACAGGCGAGCGGCGGGCCAACACAGCGCCGGTTAGGGCGGCGAGTAACGGGGCCCAGCCGCATCGGTGATCCCAACCGGCGCGTGGCCTTCTGAATAATGGCCTTGCCCGGGCGGCAGCGGCAACATGCAGAAATCGTGCAAATTACATGCATGCCGCGGCTCGGGATTCGGCCGATCCGTCCCAGATAATGGCCGTCATCGTTCATGGGGACACGGGGTCGGCGGCAGCGACCAGGTGCTCGGACCGACGCGGGAGCCACACAGGAGCCGCCGTTGCTGGGCGGACGACGGCCAGCGCGCGATTATTCCGACCGATGTGACGCCTAACCAGCATCTGAATTGCATTTTACGGCGGCACAATTAACTGCACTGGCGCTACAGAGCAGGCGCGGGCCGAGCTCTGCCCCAATGACGTCATTACGGCGCTCAGTGGGAGCGGCGGCAAACATCAAAACGGAAATCCCGCTTTCCGGTGATGCTCAAAGCGGTTGGATCAGAGCTCGATGTCCCATTCGACATGCAAAACTTTTTCGTTACTCGATCATAAACGTGGCTTGAGGATAGAACGGGTGTCAGCATTCACTAAGCCGTGTAAGTGTACGGTGTTAATGTCTGATCTTTTTCAGGATACCAGCGGTAACAAGGCGAATGGACAGCACAGCCGTTACAGGCGATTTGCTGATTTCGTGCAAACTGCAAACCTCTTCCGCGACCAGACTCAGTTTTGAGATTAGGTAGATACGAACATTGATTAAGCAATAAAACATATCGAGCATCCATAAAACGAGCAATGCAACAAACAAGACGCCAAAGGAACTGAAATAATAACAGTGAGAAGTTACGGGTAGCTTCTAAAACGAGACTTATCCTATCCAGCAAAGTAGACCACATAGCAGCAACACAATGTCTCGTGCTCACTCAACTGAAACAGATATAATTTGAGTGGTTTCAATATAACACCAGTCGACGTAGCGCTGGAATCTGACCGACTTAGCTCGACAGACAAAGCGCATTCCTTTCGAATTCATCTGGCCGGCGAAATGGAGCTGCAGTGACGTCGCCTAGCCGCCGGCGCCGTTCGCAGCGCGTGCCGCGGCCGCCGCCAATGGTCGCCGCCGGCCGCCATCCACATTTGTCTAATTACTCGGACCTATCCGATAATGAGCGGCGCGGGCGCGCGGCGAATACGGAGAGCGTCGTTGTGGCACGCGCGGGGGCGGCGGCCGACGTGGGAGCACAATGTCGATGGCGCTGCGGGCCGGAACGGCGCCGAGGCACGCGGCGGCCGGGGGCACCGCTGCCGGCCGGCCGCGCGCGGAATGTGCGTCCGGAAGGATCGGCCGGCCGGCAAACAGCGGAGGAGGCGGCCGGCCGGCAGGCAGAGATACGAGGAGAGGGTCCGCGTCACAACACGCCGACAAACGTCACTCGAACGCTTCCCGTTTACGCTTCCCAGACATGTGTTATGGAGCGGGGTGTTGTACGACGACTCATAATTGAGAAAACGGAGCTGTCATAGGTAAAGCTGGCAAAACATGCTTCTCCGAAGATGAACACGCAATTACACAAGACAATCAATGCCACAACTGTGTCACTGAACACTAGGAATGGAATTTAGCAGGTAGTGAAATGCTAGCATATGGACCGTCAGTCCACGTTTCTCTCATGCTACGACTTCAATCGTCCTCACGGATCTCAACCATTGCTTCTCGTACCGGCCGGGCCGTCGCTAATCCGGTGGGGTTGGTGCTACTGTCTGTATATACAGCCTGCAGGTCCGGAGGTGGGACGGGCTGCCGCGTCACCCATCAGCGGCTCAGGGGCGCGCCGCCACCGGCTGTCTCCATAACTCGGCTCTACCGGAGCCGGCCGGCACGACACGGCGCCGCCGGGCACGGAGGTCGGCCGCCAACTACACAGCCCGGACAGTCCGCAGCCGAGACAGCCCGCAGCCCGGATAGCCGGAGGACGGCCGGAGCCGCGGCCGCAGCAGACACAGCGGTCGGCCATGGAGGCAAATACACCAATACTTTTAGACACAGCTCCAGGCCAGCCCACTGCCAGGTCCTGAAGGCCCTCGCGTCATCTGCCAGGGATGGAGGCGCAGCCTGCTCTGGCGCGCGCCGGGTCTGGTGCAGTCTCCCCCGCGCACAAAAACTCAGCGCCGTGCCCGCAGCCGCGGCTGTTTGCTACCGGCGCGCAGCCGAGCTCTCTGGTACGGCGGCGCAGGGTAGCGCCAGCCGCGAGCGGACTGCACCCAGATCCCCGCGCGGGCGTCCAGAGGCCCCAGCTGGTCTAGTCTGAGGGTCGACCAAAGATGGAGGTTGCTAGCCATCAGTCAATGCGCACAGCGGTCCGCCCAGTCCCTGGTGTTATCTGCCGGTACCGTTCAACTAAGGCAGCCAGCCGACCGAGCCAGTCAATCATGTGATGGATCGCCCTCCATTGGCACTTCCTCTACTTCGATGATGGCTCGACTCCGGTGTCTCCAGTGGGACCAGCTGGTGTCCGACGTCCGGCGTGCGGATGGGGAGAGAAATCAGCCCGCTCTGCGCCCAACAGTCGGCCGTCGCCGGCACCGGGCCGCTCCCACGCGATGCGGCCGCGCACGGCACGAGAGAGCCGTCCAGACGCCGGGCGCCGGCGGAGCGGCACGGCAGGCCGGACGTAGGACAAAAGGCGCCGCCGTCTGCGCCAGATTACTGACGGCCGGAGACGAGACCCAGGTCCGCAGCGCAGGACAGCGGCACACGCCGCGCAGTCGACCGACCAAGTCACAGTCCCGTGACACGAATCAAAACACGACTACCGGCCGACGAATAAACAGCCGGCTCCTCCGGGCGGAAGGTATGAGCTGAGAGCCAAACTCGCGGCGCACAACGCTGTATGGTCGATCTCACGAGAGGAGCAGAGTGGGGGCGGGCGGTCCGTGCCTCCCGAGTGGTCGTAAGCAGTGCCGCGGCGCGTCACGGCAGCGCGCAGTGGTCGGCCACCGTCAGCCCGCTGTCGTCTGTTTACCCCGGACATCTCCCCGGCGGCGCGGCGGCGGTCACGGCCCGGCGTGCCGCGCCGCTCCTCGCCGCATTCCCCAGCACCAGAGACCGCTGCACGGCAGCGCTGGCCAGGTGTTTATTTAGCCTCCACAGGCCCAGCCAATATTTATTTTATCTGGGCAGCGGCGGGACAGGCGCGCGCCGTATTACACCGCCAGCAGCGCAGCGCGTGCTGGTCGGCCCGCGGCACTGCCGCCGGCCAGCTCGCCCAGCCCCGCCTCTGGGTCGCCCTCGGCGGCGGCCCAGATAGCCCCAGGCTATCAGCGACGGGCCGCGCTCATCTGACCACCAACTAAGCCGCTCAGAGCCGACGGCCACTGGAGCGCTATTTCCAGCCGCCTTTTATGACGTCTCTAGATGAACTCATCATGTTCTACAAACCCTAATCTGTCCGGGACGCGCTCGTCTTGATTTTACGGCATCAATTTCCCCTTTTCATCACGGGAATGGCTCGAGTTTCTGGAGGCGTTTTACGCGGCGTCGCCGGCGCGCCGCGTCCTCTCCCAATCAGAGCCTGGCCGGCGTAAAATGAAGCCGGCCGCCGTCGCCGCTGTGTCGGCCTCGTAAACGAGCCTCGGGCCGGCCGACGGTCCGCCGGCCACCCGGCCCGACGCCACACAAAGGAGGCGATTTTTCGCGCCGCGTCCGACACCGTCGGCCGTCGTCGGGCGTGTCCCGCTGACCCGGACCGGCTGATGGCGGCGCGGATTCCCCTGCCGGCCCGCTTTACGGCCGCGTTACGGCCAGCCGCCGAGAGTGGCGGCCCGACCGCGAGCGCCGCCCGCCGCCGGCGTTTACGGCCCGGTTTACGCGGACCAATCGCGTCGTAAAAGCCGCGTCGATGGAGACGTGTCGGCCACTAACGAGCCGAAAGCGGCGCGTAAACAGTCGCAGACGAATCTGCCGCGCCGGAGATCGACGACGATCGAGAGTCGAGAGCGACGGACGAGCGGCGCGGCGGCCGCCTGCCAGGTGGCGGGCCCGCCGGACCGAGACAGCTGAGTGGCACGGAGTGGTCTGCACTCTGTCCGCCGACACGGGAGCGGGAGATCACATCACGAAGGCCCACAAGAAGCGCGGCCCATTCGTGAGAACGACAGGTGGCCGAGAGCCTGTTGGAAGTGATGAGCCGCCATCACGACCCTCGGTCGGATCGGGCCGTGAGTCGGCCGCCCTCCTAGACCGCCGCCAGCCGACATGGGCCAGTGGCCGCGGCGTTTTTGTCTCCGCCGCGGACAATGGTGTCTGCGCGCGTCGCGGAAGCAGCGAAGGCTGCGCACTGTTTGTCACACGCCGTGTCCAATCGCCGCCGCCGCATCTGGGATCGATAGAGGGGTCGAGCAGCACGCGGGACCGCGGGGAGCCTCGTGGGCCACTGGAGCAATCTGTGACCCTCCGGAGCGGAAGAACAGCGCGCGGAGCTGCTGGAAAAGGGGTGGTCCACGGAGTCACTCGGCGCTGCGCCGCTGCAGTCGGGAGGTGCCGGGTCGGGGACAGGTCGGACTGGGTGCGCTGGTCGGGTCGGACTGGGTGCGCTGGTCGGGTCGGACTGGGTGCGCTGGTCGGGTCGGACTGGGTGCGCTGGTCGGGTCGGACTGGGTGCGCTGGTCGGGTCGGACTGGGTGCGCTGGTCGGGTCGCACTGGGTGCGCTGGTCGGGTCGGAATGGGTGCGCTGGTCGGGTCGGACTGCGTGCGCTGGTCGGGTCGGACTGGGTGCGCTGGTCGGATCGGACTGAGTGCGCTGGTCGGGTCGGACTGGGTCCGCTGGTCGGGTGTGATCAATGACAGCGGCTGACAGGAGAGCACTGGCGCAGGCAGAACAGGTACGGGGCTCATCATGTCGTGACAACACAGCACAGACAGGTGGACGAACACCGCGGCCATAACGGTTTTGCGCGCTAACGGGCTCGGCACCGCGCGGCGCGGGGGGGGGGGGTCACTAATCCGCCGACAACGGGAGATCGGTGGATCGCTACAAGCTGAGAGGGATCCCCGAACCGGTCCCGACAGCGGCCCTGGCACGAGCCGGGCGGTGAGCGGAGCGGGCCTGAGGGGCCGCCGGCTCAGACTGGCCGAGCGCGTGGGAGGCGCCGACACACTCGGCGAGACGACTCGACCGCGGCGACAGGGGATTAATCGCGGCTGGGAGGGCTGTCACGTGGACACGCTGGCCTCGCACCACTCACCTGGCGTCCAGGAACCGCGAGCGCAGGATCATGACGGCCTCGCACGTCGACTGCTTGAGCTGCACCTGGATACTGGAGAACTTCTTGTGGATGATCTGCACCATGCGCTCGATCTCTTTGGGCGTGATGGGCCGCGTCCGCGACTGTTCCCGGAGGAGGTTCATCACGTGGGTTGTGAACTCGTTGCACGCCTGTCAAAAGGAGATCATAATGAGAACTGGCGCCTCTGACTACCCGGTAATCATACGCGGTGACACCGACTCTCCAACAAGTCAAAAGACTCGAGACCTTTCCCTGACGGATGTCAGCCGGAGGGCGACTTTATCGCGCGATGGACTATGGTAGGGTCGGCTGTCGGGCCGGCTCAACATACACCACCCGCGGCCCCAGCTCGGCGGGATGGCCCAACTGCCGGGCACCACTGGCAGCACAGTCGGACGCCTGCAAACCGCGCCTCTCGCTATTGTCCAGTCAACATAGCGCGCCCAGAAATGCATCATTTGGCCCGCGAACGGGCGCCGATGCCGACACAGACGACCCGGCGGCCGGCGGTGAGCATACATCTCCCATTCCGTCTGCCGGCGAGCGGGCCGTTTCACTGAGCACGGGTCGTTAGGCAGCGCAGTACGTCAGCTCGGGGTCGGCGACAGCGTCCGGACAGCCAACCCGGCAAAACGCCGATCTACTTATTCCGTATTCGGAGGGGATATATACGAAGTAGATGGGTTCAACTAATGCGGACACAATATCTATTAAAATATCATTTGTTGGTCCCGGCCTTCATACCCGATTCGTGTAGAATTATGTAGGTACAATGGGACGCTAAAATGAAGCTGAATTTCAGCCTCTACACCAGGTCAAGGTGGAAGAGCCACAATAAACCGTGTTATGAATTAATATTTTCACTGATAATCCATGTGCGACCGCCGTGGGGCCTGGCGCGTCGCCTCTCACCCCGTGCTGGCCGCATCCCATGCCATGCCAGCCCCCCGACGGCTGCTGCGGAGCGCCACTCGACGGCTCCGCGCGCGCCGTGTGTTCGCTGGAGCTCGCGCGCGGGGCGCCTGGCGTGCGAGCAGTGAGCGCCGACCGACAGCGGTATTGACCAGAGAGGGAGCGACGGCGACACGGCGACGGGCGCGGCGCGCCCAGCCGGGCCCACATCGATCTAACAACAGACCTCCTCGGGCCGCGCGCCACGCATGGACGGCGGGCAGCACACCGCACCGGCCCACGGGGCCACCCGTACAACGGAGCGTCGATGGGGCACTGAGGGAGTCGGACGGGGAAGATGGTGTCCAGAAAAGGCCGTGAAACGGGATAATGAGGAACACTCGGGGATATGGATCGTATCAGGGCAGCGACGTGGCATGAAAGTGGTCGATGGCGGTGTCGAATTGGTCACGGAGCGATACAAATCATTTGAACACCACACCAAGGAAGGACTCCAGAAACCACTGTAAAAAAGCGGGTAAAGAAAGACGAAAATGGAAGCCAGCGGAGGAAGAAGAAAAGGAAAAGAACGTTGCGGTGTCACTGACCGGAACGAGACGGTAAAAAACTCGCGCCGTCGCCGAGGGCTGCGATACGCCCGGAGGCCCGTTCGGTGATCCGCACCAGACCCATTAGCGAGCCGGCACATAAGCAATAAAAAACCGCCGCGCATCCACCCCAGCTGTCTGTGAGAGTTCCGCGACTCGGTCCACAAATCACGGTGACAACAGCGCGAACACGAGTCGAACAAATGCCGCTCTGATACCCAGAGACCGACATCACGGTATCGGGGCCGCCCGCTGTCAGAGCCTAATCCGATGTCCTGCCAGCGATCCGCGTGTCCCGACACACACCGAACTCCCGGATATCTCCGCACTGGAGTCTGGGGCTCTCCCGAGGCCTGCTTCAGGCGGCTTATCGCAGCAGCATCGCCCATCGCCGATACGCGGCTGGTCGGAGGACCGAACTGCCCGCCGGCCGAGATGGATGGCGGCGCGGGCGGCCCCCTCCGGGCGCCGGCTGATGCCCGTCAGGCGCCGGCCGCTCCGCTGGACTGTGTGTATCGGTAAGCAGGTCGACAGGGTCATTTGTATACATTAGCGCGCCGCTCGCCGGCGGTCCGGGGGTCGGGTCGGCACCCAGCCGCCCCGTATCGTGTGCCCGCTAAACAGCAGCGGCGCAGCGGGAGTCCGGTGTGTGTACATCACGGCCCAGACGGCTCCGGGCCGCCGCCGTGGCAGAGACATAGCGCCGCTCTGATTCCGCATCTGAACTTAAACCTCTCTCTCCCTCTCCCAGATACCATCCCTCTACACATCTTCATCCCTATTCCCACTAGTCTCTGAGCACACCCGCAGCGTCAGAGCGATACGACGCACCGCCCGACCGCCGCCTTCCTCGGAGCGTGTCGCGTCCGTTCCCAGTCTTTGTCGCCTCCTTGTCTCCAGAGGCGGCACGCCGCGCTGCTGTCGGTTTCGGCGGCTCGTGCCGCTGTGGCCGGGCCCGGACCTCCAGCCGCCGCCCCGATCACCGTCAGTCCGTCTGACCGGCCAGTTCATATCGACTGTCGCCGTGCCGACCGCGACCTCCGCCACAAAGGTGGGCCTTGCCGGCCGCCTCCTGATGAAATCACTAAATCTTACCCATCCAGCGTGGCCACTAGATCACAGAAATTTATGAATGCCGGTCGGGCGGCGGCGGCGGAGTTTATTTGAAATTGGCGGCCGGGTCGGGTGGTCCCGGCCGCCTGCCGCGCCTGTCTCAGAGTCCGGTCGGACGGGGCTGCGTCGGATCGGGTCAGGTCAGCTCGGGTCGGGCAGCGCTCACCGTCCACGGACCACTACCGTCGTCAGGGCGGGGCGGGGTCTGGGCGAGTGAGTGGGCCGCGCCCGCCTGGGCCCTCCTCGCCGGCGCGGCGGCCGGCCAACAATATCCCTTGCGCCGATTAAAGCACATAAATTCGGTCAGCATGACAGCAAAGAAAATGGAAACTGAACTGTGAGACAAAGCCGCGGCAAAAAAGGATTATTGGGTTCAAATAAAGGAGGGTGGGATGATAAGGTGGAAAATTAGATATCGACTTTCGGCGGCGGCGGCGCTGGTCAGCCCGGCGGCGGCGGATTACCCGCCGCGAGTCCCAACAGCCGCTCGGCCCAGAAAAAAGACGTCCAGCAGAATGCAGAAGCGTCGACGAAGTTAACCGAAAGTAGAACGAAAGGCGAGATACAGGCTGAAAAATGAAGTTTGGGAGCGTGAGAAATGGAATTCGCCAGAGGAAGTCCTATTTAGAAAGAGGGAGAGAGGAGAGAGGGGGAGGTGGAGAAGGAGAAGGGTTTCGTCGTATAAGTGGCAGTATGAGTGAAACAGTAAAGTGATGAAGCACAGCGGAGAGACACTGGAGTCGTAGTCAATATTGATTATGGAGTCCAGCAGAACAAGGAAATAGAGTCAAAATTGGATAGAGCTTGGCGTGGAAGTAGAAGTGAGGTGGAAATGAAGTGACCCCGCCCCCCTCTCCAGTCCCTGCCACCTCGCCCGCGCCCCCTCTCGGGCTCGCACACATCAGCCGGCCAAAACAAACCGCCGTACGGCGCCGCGCGATCAGCTTAGTATCAACAAAGATGGGCGACGGCTAAGGGCTCACCAGCGTAAATAATTACACAAGGAGCTGGCGGGCGGTGGCGGTCCCGGCGCCACCGACAGCCGCCTGACGTATGCACAATTACGGCGCTCTCCAGCCCGGGGGAGCGCCCCCTCCCCCCGGCCCGGCCCGCTGACCAGTGACCACCGCCGTGACCGACGGTCAAAGCCCAGCCCTGTGAGAGAGTCGCTCACAGGCGTCACTGTGGGGAGCAGGTGCGTACTGATGTGGGATTCTGAAGGGATCGCGATCGAGGCAGTTAGCAATTATTCTTGAAACGATCAGTGGAAGAAAATGATTCACTGGCAAACAACATGACGAAAATTGAAAAAGGGTAAAAATAAGTTATTTTAAATAAAATCACAAGACACTTCCAAAATCACATTCATTGTTGAAGAGCACTGAGCAGATCGGAGTCTGGCTGTTTTCTTTGAATTGTACAGCGAAAATATAAGATGGAAGACGTCCCCGTACCGCGAATATGTCCGTATACGATTACAAAACAGTATCTTTTTCCAGCACCGCCCCCAGACTGTTACTGGTAATCCATCAAATTGTTCCGAGGGCGTGTCCATCAGACTGGTGGGTGCGTCCATCCGACTCGTAGCGGACAAAGCGCCATGACTTTACTCAGATGTCGGCGCGCTGCCGCCGCGGAGAAATCCACTAAGCGCGAGTGGCTTGGGTGGCGCAGGCGGCCAGACGAGCCCATTTTGATAATCATTTATGCCGGCAGCGAAGTTGCCGTGCACGTAATTGGCTGCAGTCAGAGGATTTAGTTAATTTCTGAGCGTCCGCCGGTAACCTAATTTGAGCGGCGGCAATACCTCGGAGACTCTTGTTTGGCGCTCCGGTGATTCAATTTTCCGGCGCAGTATCGGGCCTGCTCCGCGGGCGCCGCGGGTGGGGCGCGGCCAGCAGCTTCTCTTAGCAAATGCGACGCGTGTGGCAGGTTGCTGGCATATGCATGCAACGAATGCTGGGGAAGGCATGATGCGTATCGCAATATCGAAGATGTGTATTGCATTTCCGACATTCTGTGTGATGTTCATTCCAACATCTCGCGCCGCGTCCCACAGAAAGTCGACTGCCGCTGTGTGCTTCCCCCCCCCCTCACCGCGACCCAGCCTGGTCCCCCGATACGGGACGCGGCGCACGTCGGCCGTTGACTGTGGCCGGACCATATTGCCAATATCGGCGGCGCGGGGCGGTGGCCAGATGGCGTCCGCCTGGACTCGGCCGCGGTCCGCCGTGGACCGCAGCACACACCGGCGTGGCCGAACTGGGCACACCAGCTGACCGCGGCCGACGTGCGGCCGTCGCGTCGGCGGTCAGCTGGCGTCCCGACACCGGCCACCCGCTGCCGAGGGAGCCCAGCTGCCCGCCGGGGCCGACTGGAGCGCGTCACGGCACTGGCAGCCGTCACATGCTGTTACTAACCGTCAAATTCCGCCCGCTCGGGGGTCGCGGCCATCCCGAGACATTACGAGCATCACAGGCGCCACGGCCGTCCCCGTCACGGGTCGTTAGTGCTGTTACGGCCATCCAGGGCGCCCCAGAGCCACACGGGTCACGGCTCGTCCGTCTGTCGCGGCGTCCCGTCACGGGCCGACCGCGTCACGGCGGCCAGAGGCGGCTCCGCGCCGCCGCCCGGGCAGTCCGTCCCCGTCTCGGCGCCGCCAGAGCGGCCGTGTCACCACAAACAGCGGGGCGGGACGGGACCGTACCGTCCCGCCGCAGCCAGCTCCCTCCGGTCAACAGCGGCGCAACGCGACACCGCCCGACCACCCGCCAACGGCGTATGGACCGGCCGCCGCGCGAGGGCTGGTCAGTTACTGGGCGCGCCGGGTTCATCTGGTGTAAACCAAGATGTCACAGGGGTCCGCCACTGTGGATTGAGTCGGCCGGGTAGCTAATGGTCATAAACGACCCCTCTGGTCCCATATGCTCTGGCTCTCCTCTCCCCGTGTTATCGGGATCACGCCGCCTCCCGCCGCGCCGCGTTGCGTCGATTTGCGCCACTCCGCGCCGCCGCGCATCGTCGGCGCCGACGCCCCCTCCCGCGCGACGCTCCAACTTTTACTATCAGTCTATTAATACCGAAAGACCATCAGCTGCTATTGCAATCAATGCACGAACCGTAAAACGGCATTAAACGCTTTTACTCGCAGTCTACGGGCATTAAGTGATCGTTGGGGTAATGTATGGGAAAAGTGGCGGTCGGCGGATCGCGAATCGGCCCACTAGATGTCGGCCCGAGCGCCGGCCGAGCGCAACAGATGAAGCGGCTGTACGTTCAAACTTGAGCCGGCCGAATGGGGCCGTCAGCCATTACGGTCGCTCGGGGAAGAGAGCGCGGGACACGAGGCAAAGAGAACGCCCCCGTCAGGGAAGCCAGTAACAGTAAAATACTCGAGGCGTAGCGACACAATGCGCCCGGAGCAGCGCGCTCCGAGCGAGCTTCCTTTTAAAAATTGAAACATAAACTAGTTCTGGATGATCGCATTTATGGAGCGGGTCACCGCCCGCCAGACGATATTCGCAGCGCGCCGCTCGCCGAGCAGCATACGGCCACCAGTTGTGCAGTGTTTACTTGAATGTCAACCATCAGCTTAGCCAGGCCGTCATCCACCTGGTCAGATTAACGCAATTTTTCGTCGCACGACCGAGCCAGTCCCATTGGATAAACTGAGCCATGGTGATATGTAAAGTTTCGTCCCCGTGATAGCAATACGAGTACCACAAACACGGCCCAATTGTGGCGGGCACCTCACAGGTGAGACGGTGTATGGCCGGAGACCGGCGGATCGTTATCACATCGCCGCAGCGGCCGGCGCGGGCGCCACGTCCATCGAAATAATCTGATATGTCATCAGCATGGCAGCGGCGGCCCACCTGGTCAGTGGTCACCCGGAGACTCGGCTCCAGGACCCGGCGTACTGCTGGTCCTCGCCGTACCGTACCGTACCGCAGCGCGGCCGCTCACCTGTTCGTATTTCTCCAGCTCCTGGTGGTAGATCTGCCGAATCTGCGCGAGCTTGGCGCGGTAGTCGGAGTGCTCGATGGTGCCCTCGGCCGAGGCGCCGCCGGCGGCGGCCGCCGCGCTGGCGTTGGTGGCCGCCTGCGCGCCGCCGCCCTTCTCGGGGCCGGCCACCCCCTCTGCGATGAGCATGTTGTCGAGCCGCATCAGCTGCGGGTCCGGCGGCTCCTCCTCCTGTGTGTTCCGCAGGTTTATCACTGCAACACAGACAGACAGAGTGGGGGGTGAGTGGACAGGGCACACACAGAGCAGCCTACACCACTGGCATACGGCCTATTCGGTAACAAATACTCATACACAACGGCAATCCGTCAGCATGTCATCGCCAACGTATTACGTCAATCGGTTGGCTGCAGAAACAACATCCACAACGACTTGACTGCTCCAGTTTGAATCAGCATCGAGAACAACACGATCATTGAGCAACTTTGCGGTTGGGCTAAGTCAACAACGCTGCGACGTCCGGAGTGACACGTTCTCATTTTCTCCTGCTCGGCCAAGTGGGTGCAGGCTGCAGATGTATCTGATCTGCAGGGAGGGCACCGCCGAGGGCGTCCCGGAACGGGCGGCCTCTGCACCCCGCGGGCGCCGCCGGTGACGCCGCCATTGCTCATGGCAGCGAGACTGTCCGTGTCTGCTGCGCCTCTGAAGTGGGCGGTCGCCGCCCGGGCCAGAGCGACATTCCGAGAGGTACTTGTTCCATTCCTCCCCGCCATAAAGACACTCTGGCGTCAATGACAGCTGTACGGCAATTACCGGGCCCTCATTTGTCCACGACTCATTAGCGCGACCAGTCGAACCGGTCAGCTGTCCGCTGGCCAGTGACGGTCTGCCGCGGCCGGCGGGACAGGGTCCGGAGATGCCGTCCCCACAGCAGCTGGTTATCCCCAGTTCCCATGGGAGCCGACGGCCCGAATACCGAGGGCTGGGGATGGGGCGGGGGCCAACCGGCCGCGCCAGAACGGCCGCCGCTGCGCCACGAGTGCTAATGAGCTCGCCAGAGACGCCGCAGAGCGCCGCAGCAAAAACGTCCGGCGGCCGGCCGGCGAGACCGCGTCCTCGGACAACGGCCGCGTCCACTCACTCCCTCCAGCCTCCATCCAGTTCCCACTCCCTCTCAGGGAGGCCGAGACGGCAGGACGCACCAGCTGCAGTGAACAGAAACCAAAACGGGTCGTAACAGCACTCCGAGCGGCGGCGGCCAACGGCAGTAGGAGCCAAAAATGGCCCCAACAAATGCAGTCGTGGGTGATGGCAAATTGCAAAAACTTGCAAGCTACAGAGCCAACAGCAATAAAAGTGATGTTCTGGACAAGGAGGGACATGTGGATTGTGTACTCCAGTGCTGCGCGCCGAGTCCCCTCCGTTCCACAGCGAACGCACGTCCACACTCGGGTAAACATCTATCCATTACTCACAGCGATTTCCCATGGCACGACTCCCAGTTTGGCAGCTTTGTTTCCGGCAGAGTCAGCCGAGCGTCACGGCTGTGACTCGGTGTCGACTCACGGGACCAGGGGAGGGGGAGGGGCCGGGGTGGCTTCGCCGGCCGCCCATCAGCCTCACAGACCCGGCGGAACGCACCGCCGCCGGCGCCGCCGTCTCCGCGGAGAAACGAGCGTCGCCGCCCAGCCGCCGCTCAGCGACCGCGTCAAATTTACACGGGCCCCGGGTGTAATGATTTCCCCGGCGCGGCGGCGGCGCCGACCATCGGTCTCTGGGGAGTCGTGCCCACTCCGCCGGCCGCCGCCGCCGCCCGCCGGCCGCCGGCGCGCACCGGAATTAAAATCGTCCCATCAGCGCCGCCACGGAGACAGCCGCCCGCCGTCCCGGAAACGTGACGGGACGGCGGCGGCGGCGTCTCCGCCTGACCGCGGCGGTGGATCAGCCTCCGGCGGCAGCCCTGTCAGTCCGCCGGGCGATCCCTCACCGCGGCCGGCGGCGCGGCCACTCCGGGTCGGCCGGTGACACGGGACATGATCTCTCTGTCATCGCCGTCCGCCGGCTGGCCGCCGACGCATTTTTCACCCTCCGCCCGTCGGCAATTAATTCGCGCCGCGCCGACACGGCCCGCCGGCGGCGTACAGGTGTAAATATGAAGAATCGCCCACCCGACACCGGCTGATGTATTGTCGGCGGTGACAATTTGTTCGGTGTCAATTATAAATGAATCAGCGATGAGGCGCAGCGATAGCAGTCGGCGGACGGACGCCGGACAGGGCGCATTCCGGGGCCGGGGAGCTCTCGCAGGAGGATACAGAACCAGCCCGGCCCGAGACCAGCGCCGTGAACCTGTCGGTATGCGGGCCGCCAGCCGGGGACGGAGCCAGCAGCCCCGCCGATCGACTGGACGATAGCGCGCCGCAAAACGAGACCCTGCCGATGGAGCCGCTCAGCCGTGTACATTGTGTACGGTTTTAATTGTCCAATAAGACAAATGTTTCGGCAGACAATCACGTGACTGAGCCTGGCGGTTAGTGACTGGACATCTGTAAGTGAGGCAGAGACATCATAAAGAACTGGAGCGGTGCCGATAAAAGTTGAACGGGGAGAGACAGCCACAACAAGAGGAGCCGAGAGTGACGCTGATAAAGCTTAGATAAATTGACGAAGCACGCACGATATAACGAGAAGTGGCCCAAAGGCATTTTTATGAAGCACTATAAGCCACCAAAACGATAAGCGAAATGACCATGGCTATTTCAACCAGTTTTACAACGGATTTTATCATAAATAATTACAGCCATTTTAAAAGCTGGCTGCAGATATAAATCATCCACACAATCAGCTTAGGATGATACATACAATGGCCGACCCTTTAAGGATATCTTGCAAATATCTTAAAGGCATTTCAGGATTAGGCGGTGACCGTCGGAAACCTACCGACTTTTTCTGGCACAGCAGTAGTTACTGTTGTGCAAAGTGATTCACGGCTCAATTGTGCACCTACCCAGGGGAACAAACGGCCGACTTCGAAAAACAATTATGGAAAGATAAGACTAAGCGCAAAGCGTCGAACATAAAAACGAAACTCAGCAGCGCCTACAACGGGCAAGACAGCCGTCAAAATAGCATCTCGGTCATTTTTAGACCTTTGCCATACTATCATTACTATGAAGCGCAGGTGTTCCCGCTCTCCCACTTCAATCGTCATCGCCTAGAGCTCGTTCATCGCCACTCATCCTGGCTCGCCCCAGTGACACATACGGCACGTTCTGATCACGCACTGCGTCTGGTGCGCGCGCCACATGTGTCAATGGCGCGCCACGTGCGTGGCGCCGGCGCCTCCGACAAATGCCGATGTCTTGTTAATTCCGCTGTGTCAACAGTTTAAAACCGGACGCTTTATGGCCTATAAATCTTACCGCAGCGTTCCGAAAATTAATCATAAATTCAGGCCGACGGCCGTGCCGTCGCGGCCATCCGGTTATCAGGGGGCCGTCGGCCGGCTCGGCGGCCGCCGTGTCACCGACGAGTTATCCGACTGTTATGGCACAGTTTCATCATGGGATTACGGGTGCGGCGCGTCAGAGCCGGCCGTCGGCCGCACATCACTCGGCGGGCGCGCTGCTCAGCCGGACTGCACACTGTGCACACTGGCGGGGGTACAGCCGGCCACTTCAGAGAGCGACCACCCGCAGACCGCGCCGACCCGACCCCGCTGACCCAGCAGACGTCAGCCGGGCCATCAGACGTCACTCCACGTCATCGGCGTCATCCCACGTCACTCGTCGCCCGGGACCGTTCAGCGATAGGGGTTCATTAGTCAGAACAGACAACCTTAATGCGACTCAATGATATCCAAACACAACAGCCGAATAATGTTGTACAGAGTTGTAGTCGAGTGTATTGGGTGCTTCTCCTGCGACCGTTCCAACCACACTGCCAACCCTCTCGCACGACCCGGCGCCGCTACCACCGCGACTCGGCGCCCCCGTCGCCACACATGTAACAGGACACCCCCCTTGGACACATTTGTCAGTGTCGGCTAGACGGCGTCCCCCAGGCGCGTCTGGGCCACGCAGCGTCTCAGCCGGTCACACAGAGCTACACATAACTATAAACTACACGTCCCCCTGATCTTTAAGATCACATCTCAATGCATACACACAATATGACACAATGCACTATGACACTATGACACTTACATCAGACACTTGAGACACAAAATGCGACACAATCAACGCGAAAGACAAAATACATTACAGCAGTTAGCCGATATTATTCGGTACTACTACCCCGAAGCGTTCTGGCGGAGCCCCCACTCTCGCGCTACGTCGCGGTTCAGTACTGTTCTGAGCCGGTGGCTCATCAGAGGTCGGCCGCGGCAGCTCCACCTCTACAGAGGGATCAGTCTCGCGGTCGCCGACTGCCGATGAATGCTCTGACGCACCGAGCGACAAAGCCGGCTCACTGTCGTCCTCGATCGGGGGATCGGCCGCCGTCGGCTGCCCCGTGTGCCGGTGGCGCACGCACCTAACGTGCCACGGAGCACCGTCAACTTCGATAAGCTGGTCGGTCACGATACGTGTGACGGTGCCAGGCCGGGAAACGTCAGTACAGCGAGTCGCAGGCCCGCGGCGCCGCACCCACACCAGGTCGCCCTCCCTAAAGCCGGCTCCCCGCTCAGAGTCTGCAGGGAGAGCCGGCGGCGGCCGGTCATCGTGTCCGCCGGCGCCGGTCACCGGCAGGTCACGCCCGACACGACGGAACACGCCGGCGGCGGGAGCGCTCTCAGGCTGCGAGCCATCTCGGGGCGTCATATTGTAGCGGTGAAGTGATTCCGCGATGGTACATCCTTTGCGGGCTGACATCACTTTAATCGTCCGGTGATGACGCTCCACGATGCCGTTCCCACCTGCCTCGTGCACCGCCCTGAACCGAAGGGTCACGCCCCATCTCGCCGCGAACGCTCCCATGCGGCGACCACGGAACTCAGTGGCGTTATCCAGAAGCAGTTCTGCTGGCGCCCCGTGCTCCAGAAAGACGGTTTCCAGATGAGCAGTGATCTCGGCCGCATCTGACCGGCGCAATCGCCGCCATATTCCATAGCGGGACGGACCACAATCGACCACGGTCAGATAGTGATCGCCACGGTAGTGTGTGACATCGATGGCGAGACGCTCCCAGGTCAGTTGAACGCCCAGTGACCCGTGTCGCCAGCGGGTCGGTGCCGGGTCGATTGACTGGCACACGT